AATGTATTTTACCCTAATTATTTTCATTTCAGATAAGTTTAGGTATCTCAAAAGTTAAAGTTACAGCCTATATACGTCCCACAGCTGGGCGCAGGTCTCATCTTATCGCTGAAAGTGTTTTTGGGGAAAGAAGTGTTTGCCACGCTTTGTATTGGCGAATTTTACATGTCTTCGAAATATTTATTTATTTTATTTCTCCGCCGAGAACATAGTAGGTACTATGAATAAAGGGTAAATAAAAACAAAACATAACGACATGAATAGATAGATACCAATTTTTCAATTTATGACAAACGACATTTTAATGTCATACGTCGAAGAATTAAAGATTATTCATTTCTCATGGTCTCATTTTGTAAACAGAATCTAAGCAAATGCAAAACGCAAGAGCTACCTTTGTGTACTACCCAAAAATATAAACAAAATAATCCACACTAAGCAATTCCAGTTGCATAAACAATACGAAACGAGAAACAATCGGTGGTACGAATTTCGCTGCATAGTGCATACATACAAGCGATCCACCAAGAGTGGTGCAAAGGGACAAAGAGCTCAGGGTCGCTGGGCGTGGCGCCACGCCTCCGTTCTTGGCTCGGGCGATATCAACAATGGGCAAGGCCAGGTAGGAATACATCAATCTGCATGATTTCTGTGAACGTACACAGAACGTGCTACGACTGTTCCCTACAGATTGCGTTCACCCATATTATTTTAGGCAACTTAAAATGAAATAAACGCCCAATATTTTTAGTTATTAAAACAAAAAAAGTAGTTTCAATTAATATTTAAAGTGTTGTAAAACGCTTTGTTATACTTTTTAAGTAATAGGGAACATTTAACTATAATTTTTACTAGATATTGTTAATTAGGGATAATTTATTTAATAATAGTTTACATATATGACGGCTCCGGGGCGCAGTGCCTTAGCAATAAGTTGCAGCACCAAGGGCCGCGGGTTCGAATCCCGCACGGAACAAGTATTTGTATGGCCTACAAATAATTGTTCCGGGTATGGATGTTTGTCCTTGTGAAATTTATGTATGTAAACTGCCCCCACGATACAGGAGAAAATCCTAGTGTGAAGGTAACGTTTTAAAAAAAAATAAAAGATGAACTAAGAAAGATAAAAAGATATAATATGTTTTTAGTTAATTGGCTATATTTTATTAAAGTTACTGGACTGTTATTTTAAAACATACTACCTATGTTAAAATTATAGTTAAATGTTTTCCATACATATAAATAAAATTCAAGTGTTTGCCTGTAATATCTAAACAAAACTATCTTTTATTGAGCTGAGGACATTATTTGCATGCTATTAAGACATGAATTAACATTTTCGAATTTATTATCTGTCTGTTTGTCTGTCCGGACTAATCTTCGGTATCTATGGCAGAACCGATTGTAATTAAACTTGAAATAGCGAGCAATACCAGTAGCGATCTAGGTTATATTTTATCCGAAAACGTGTAGTTTTCAGATATATTATACGAAAAATGAATTAAAAAATAACCTTTGACGATTATCTTGAATCTGAAAATCGCCAGATTAATCTAAATACATGATCTAAACCAAAATTTAGATTACGTTAGAGCTGTATATCTGTTTTTTTTGTGTTTGTGTATTTTATATCTAATATATAAAATTCTTGTGTCGCGGTGTTTGTTACCAAACACTTCCGAAACGGCTGAATCGATTTGTATGAAATTTTGTGTGCATATCGGGTAGGTCTGAGAATCAGCCAACGTCTATGTTTCAAACCCCTAAATGATAAGGGTGACCTACTCCTATATATTTTTTATTTTATAGACAGTTTTTTATTTTATTATGATTAAGCATTGAAAAATACATAAAACTTAAAATTTTCACCCTTCCACGATCAACCCCTGTCTTTTAATCGCGATTTTTAAAACTAAAAAATATTTCCTAGAAATAATGTATATGGCAAAACAACATTTGCCGGGTCAGCTAGTGAATTTATATGAATTTAAGTAATTGTAATAATTTAATTTAAATGACATATTTTTTAATGTAATTGATATAAAATTGACATTATTACTTATATTTAATATTTTAATTTCGATGTGTATTTATGACGTGTGATATGAACTAGGTCCGAAATAAATGATTTTAAATTTAATTTTAATTAGTAGATTATTTCCAGGTGAAGTCGAGGCGGGTAGCTAGTTCAAGATAAAAGTTTTGGTATTTACGTATTTACCTACCCAGTCGAGTCAACCCATTCATGCTACAACTAAAATATAGCTGCAGCATGGCTCTACCACGTATAAAGATATGCAACTAACTTAAAACAAAGATGGCGATAGACGCGTTGTCACGACCGAAGACTAAGATGGAATGCCTGATAGCCTGTAATTATACTGAGTATCTATAGATACTCTTCAAACCAGAACACTGCAGTTAACGTACTGTTTCTTGGTGGTAGAAATCAGCAAGGGGGCGGTACCTACACAAACGGACTCGTAAGCAGATAATTTAAAATTAAAAATTTTGGTACAGCCGACTTCAATATAAGTTATTAAGAATAACTCAAAAACTATTGGTCTGAACTTAATAAAATTTAAATGGGACCACACAAGAAGTACCAGCTATCAAACAAAAAAAGAATCATCGAAATCGGTTCACCCAGTAAAAAGTTATGAGGTAACACACATAAAAAAACAAAAAAAAAATACAGTCGAATTGAGTACCGTCTCCTTTTTGGAAGTTGGCAGAAAATACGTCCTACCCTCTAGCGTTTTTTAATTTTATAGATTGGCGCTGGGGACCAACATAACCAGTGCGAGAGTATCATCAGATCTGTTCTCACCATTCACCACGCTCGTACAAAAGAATACCAACGAAAAATAGCAGCCGTGTTCCGTATGGTGCCTGACCAGAACCGAAGAGCCTTTTATTGGTAATGACGCATTAAATTTTAGTCCTACTCACGATAACACACGACATTATTAAAAATAAAAAATATGTATTTTAACCTTATTATTACATAAACAAATACAGATAATAAAAATAATCTCTTCCAGACGTTTTCCGTTAGAGTTTCAACGGAGACGAGACATCTGGGTAAGACAGGATCATAAAGTGCCCGAATGTAGGCTTACGAAAGCACTGGTGCACTCTTATTTCCTCACTTTCATAGTCCGATGGAATTGAATCCATCACGACCGAAGAGAGATCAGGCGTTTGCTTTATGTGCTTTCCGAGGCAGGGGTTAACATACCGCAAACTTCCTGACTCCGTACTGCTACAAGAATTTATTGACAGAAAAAGCAACTTGGTCTGACTCGGGATTCGTATCCGGGATCACATGATCGGCAGTTATGCTTACAACCCTAAACCAACTAGGAGTCACCGGCGTTATCCTCCCAGAAGTCTAACTTGGCATATATTTTTTCATTTTACTTTAATGCGTTAATTGAAATTACAAATATTGATAGAAGTTAAAAGTCAAGATATAATTGTAGAAAGTGATCATTATCAATGTGAGCTACGTAGTACGTAGACAATCTACGTTATGCTACGATCGGACAAATATTTCCCTTAATTCGGTATGCCCGCGAACTTGCTGGCTCCGTATCGGGTATAAAGCTAAGCGAGAATTGGAGACAGTCAACAAAATGGCGCATTTAAATGGGCGTCTATGCATTGTCGGGCATCGGGCGTAGATATCTCTCGCTGGCCTTGTCGCACTTACATCCAAACCTCTTTATTTTCTATCCCCATTCACCATTTGAACAATGTTCTAAAAGAAAATCGAAGTAAGTAGTTATGAACTTTAATATAATGGATTAAGATTCCAAATCATAAAATATAGTTTTAAAAGAAAATATTACCATGAACGAATGACGCGACATATGAAACTGTTACACATTGTTTCGTCCTTATCCTTCACACGAGTGAGAGAGATATTTTTATCGCAACGTCTCTCTCTCGCCTCCTGAGAAGTAATGTGTTATTGCTTGTTGTGATATCTCCAAAATAACAGGGAAGTACTCGCTACGAAGTTGTCATTTGTAACGGTTTTGCTTTGTATGGACAGCAAAATAGTTATACTTTATTTAAAATGTTTTTTTTTAATGGAATACTGACAATTTATGAATTTAATGTGACAATATTAGTCAAAAATTAATAGCTCTTGTACAAACAAAACTCCAAATGCTTAAATATTATATATTAAAATTAATTTATGTAATTTTTTTGTATATTATAAAGATAACTATCTTGCATTAAGACAACGCGACTAATTCTCGCCCAGGTGTAGGAAACATAATAGGCTCTTTAATTTTATTTTTATTTATTTTTTTTAATTTATTATATTTTCATATTAATGCCACAAAATGTATATCAGTAAAGTTAAAAATATGAATCAAAGGTAATATTTGTCTAGAACAACTTTCTCATTTGCCTTATATGTCATTAATAACAAATTTTAACAAGTTAATTCATATATACATACTGTAAAAAGATAAACAAATTCCTAATATCTAACTTACTGTATCTACATTGTTAATTTGAATTTGAAAAAGAGTTACATACATTTTGAAACCACTACGGTGAGAGACGTAAGATATTTTTAAATAATGGAAGAAGATTTATTTAATGAATATAGTTCATTCTCTTTAGATACCTTTCAATGGGCCCGTGGATTTTATACTCTTGTGTTAACTATTTAGCACAAATATCAAAATATATAAAGAATTGAAATTTAGAATGTATATTATAAATTGAAATATAAAAATTAATCTAGTTTATATAAAATCTGAAGTTATTTTATTAATTAAAACAAATAAATCATTTGCCTGTCAGTACTTACGCCTCAAGGCAGGGCGCTTCGCGAAGCTGCTGGAGTGGGGCGTCGCTAAACAAAAACACGTACACAACGAGCGGGCGCGGTGATTGGCTGGCGGTGACCTGCCCCCGGCGAGAGGCGCCCGGCCGTCCGTGGAGCGCACTGTGCGCCGCGACCTCCGCTCGGCAACATGTGCAGCGGAGCCGAAGGTGGCCCCTGGCCTCTGCCGAAAGACGCACCGTCCGTCACCGCCGCCGCGCTCGACCACTATCGCCTCCAACTTTACAATTACGCTGTCGCTGAACGTCTTCGACTCTACCCGCCAGCACCATGCTACGCCCCCTACGCGCCTCGCCTAGCGCTCTCTATGTCGCTGCTCCAGCAACGTGCACTACAACCAGAGGAACCGAAGCCACAACATAGCTACATCGGTCTGATCGCCATGGCGATACTGAGTTCGCCGGAACGCAAACTAGTTCTCTCCGACATATACCAACACATTCTGGACAACTACCCGTATTTCCGTACGCGAGGACCCGGCTGGCGCAACTCTATCCGGCACAATTTATCCCTGAACGACTGTTTTGTGAAAGCTGGTCGATCAGCTAACGGAAAAGGTCACTATTGGGCAATTCACCCAGCTAATGTAGAAGACTTTCGGAAGGGTGACTTTAGACGACGCAAAGCGCAGAGGAAAGTGAGGAAGCATATGGGGCTGGCTGTTGATGATGACGGTGAAGATTCGCCGTCACCTCCGCCTCAGTCTCCTCCGCCAACTGCCCTTCCATTGCCATTTTGGGGTACTGGGAGGCTCCCTGGTGGTGGAACGGCCCGTAAGAGGCAATTTGACGTCGCGTCACTTTTGGCACCCGATGAGGCGCCTGAGAAACGTCGACGAGAGAGTAGTGGAGAAGAAGAAGCAGAAGAGGATATTGATGTTGTAGCGAGTGATCAAGAGGAGCGGGTTGACGAGGAGACACGCTCTCCTCTAACACCGGCCGCGCATTATCCGCTGTTGGGAGGTTGGTGGCCGGCTCTGGATCCTGCACTATTGCATCAACTTCGCCGCCATGCTGTTCACGGTCAAGGAATCCCTAACTCACCACAAGGTTCCGTCAGCCCAATCGATCAGCAACGTCCCCCTGATACTTAGACAGTGATGTTTGAACGTTACGCTTAAAGCGATGTACAAAATGTGAATATTCAGTATTATTTCCTGGTGTTAAGACTTAACTTTGAGTGAGTACGCTCGCATACTTCTGTCTACGAATAAAGCTGCATAATATACAATTTATATTAAATCTACGCGCGTTGAAGTCTTTTCCAAGCAAACAATAAACTTTTCTTCATCGCTATGGACGTGTAAGTTATTATAAATATAAACCGTACTTAATAAGTGCTACCTTTAAACTGGTGATCTTAGTCATTGTGTACTTAACGTGACTTAATTATTACTGTAGTCTGAAAACGACCAAGTGACTGTAGATATAATCCTAGGACTATTTGTATATATTGTGAAAGGTGTCTACTTATAGCTGTTATGATGGGTAAACATAATGTTGTTCATTTACTAGAGGAGCATTTAATTAAATATTATAATACAACAACACTATAAATCTCCGAATAAATAGAAAATATTACATAAAAGCTATCTTTTATTATTACTAATTCACCAAACTCCTTAAAAACAATTACAAGCCGTACATAATTATATTAATAGTGTAATTAGTATGTACTGCGAATTATTGCTATCATAATATTCTATGCAAAACGTCTAGAATGTCGATATATTAAATTCAGTTTTAGTATTTTAATTAAAAATATTGTTAGTGTGTGAAATAGACTCAAGAGAGTCAATAGATCCATCTCGTAGCATAATAGTAAGAGTATGACAAAAGGGAAAAAAATAATCTAGATGTTGGCAACAAATAGCTGAAAACATACTACGTGTTGATTTTGACAAGTAATGCAACTGGCCGTAAATAAGAGAAAACAAGTTAAGTAGTGTTTTAAATAAAATTTGTAAGGTATGTAAAAATATAATTGAAAAGATTATATACATAAAAATTTAAATCAACTAAAGTAAAGGAATTAAAACATTTAATTATTAACTTGTGGACTAATTTACTCACTGATGAGTGATTCGAATCAAAATATTAATAATGATGCAAACATTAAAAAATGACCTGCGTCAGTTCATTTATTTTTATAAGAATTTATTATGACTTACCTACACAGCTTAATCGTAATGACCCTTTTAATTATTTATGATAACAATTTGAAACAACTTCATTAAAAAGATATATTAAGGTAATAACTAAACTTTTGTCATATTAATAACATTCGATGATCATAAGCTGATAAGATTCTAGTGAAAATACGAGGTCACAGTTAGAAGTCTGGAAAGAACACACTAAATAAAAATTTATCGACTAAATTGGCAATATGTTGAAGATGAGCCAGATTAAGAGTATCCTTAACCGACGAGCATGTATGCGTTGGTATGGATGTAAAGGAGGCGAGAGAGGTGTGTCAGGATCGTGCCAAATGGAAGTCCGTAGTGTCTGCCTACCCCTGATTTATGTAATGTATGTACTATGTATATGTAGTTAGAAAATTATCGTTTTGTCATCGGTTCCTAAGAACTATGCAAAATTTCAAATTATTCAGGCGCAAGAGAGTGAGTGAAAACTTAATTACTAAATTCCAATAAATTCATACATACATACATACAGGTCAAGATAATAATAATATTAGATTTTAAGAAAACTTAAACTGCTGCAAAATTCCTAACGTTAATATCATGATAACGTTGATATAATGTTATGGAATAAATAAAGTTTGTTTTAGAGATCACTCAAAAAGCACACACTGAAAATTGCAGTATGTGATACTGAGTTAATGAGTATAAAAATATATATCTAAAAATCCTAACAACATCTACACGCAGTTTACCCTACTCATGACTGGCTCAGGTTCTGAGGACTGAACAATAGCAATAAATCCATTCAATTACACCAAACTCAAATCGTAGACTAGTGATAAGCAGTAGAGTCAATGCAGGGTTATCAACTAACTCTGAGCTCACAAACAAGCTTGTTAGGTATAGTAAGTATTAGAGAAATATTTCAAATGATGTAATATCGTATTCTTTAAATGGACCGTATTTACCAGCTTTTATTTATATAAGTACGAAGTGCATTGTAATGTATAAGTACATTAAGTGAACAAATATTAGGAGAGGGCTATGCTCGGGGTTTCTCCGCGTGATAAACTCCGCAGTAAAACTAGAGTGATTGACGTAGCCTAACGGATTAGTAAGCTGAAGTAGCAATGGTCCGGCCATATAGCTCGAAGAACCGACAAGTGAACCGGGAAAAAGGTTCTGCCTCGTACCGGTGCGCGAAGTGTAGGGAGACCCCCCGCTAAATGGAGTGACGACCTGGTAGAACATGTAGGAAATCGATGGAGGCAGGCTCAGGACCGTGCTTTGTAGCATTCCTTGAGGGAAGCCTGTGCTCAGCAGTGGACTTGTAAAGGGCTGTAATGATGATGACGATGATGGTGAATTAATACACGCTGTAAATGTTGAAAAGAAGAAATAATAAAAATAAATAATAGTATTATTATTTTATTTCAACTTCAATAATATACATTTGGGATTGGTATATATTTATATGAAACTACTGTGAAAGTATCTATGTCTCGGTCTATCTCGGGTCGGTAAATAAAATGTTAACTCCATGGGTTAATTAACTTCGTATATATCATGTTGCACATAAACAATACAGTCGAATCGATTGCCTTATTCTTTTTTAACCATCGGTTAAAAACGAATTGAACTTTCTCTTTTCAAGAATTCCTAAATTTATATTCATCTTTCTTCCTTTTTATGAGTCTTTTAAATATCTTTGAACATAGGCGCTTTTCCAGTGTGATTTTCACCTTAATTGCTAGGAAGGCGGTCGATCGCAATGCCAGACCTTTGTGGATGCTGACGGTCGCCGGTCTGAGTATTAGCTAAAATTATTAAATATAATTTAAAAATACCAAGTACGCAGTAGTAAAATTTTTTTAATAATTAAAATATTTCGACATTGATATTAAATATCCATGTTTCTCTCAACAAAAATCAAAAATTATGATCCAATCTTTACGCGGTAATGTAATTTTTGCTATGGATAACGAACTTGTGAATAAAAAATTGACTTGCGAAAAATATAACATTCGAAATTAAAACATTTATAAGCGACAGGGGGACATAACTTTTAGTCTGCCCTATGTAATAATATACATAAACATCGAGTCTAGTAAATAATAAACTTTTAACTCGTGAAAAGATATTCAACTCAATTTAGTTACAAAAATTCTAATCTTCATAACATTGTTAAGACTTAAAAATAACAATTCTTAAAATAATGAAGCTTTTACTTTCCCACGCACTTCGCTATTGTATTTAACTCTTTATGTAATTACCACACTAGTCTGCTTAAAAACTAATGTATTCCTGATAATTTAAAAGTGTGGTTCATTAAGGTTTAGCTCACTTAAAATGCGCTTACGTTAAGCATAGTTTTCGAAGAAATCCCGAAAAAGAAAGATTATATAAAATAATTAACTAAAAATTTCACATACACGTAGTACATTGTTGTAAAAGGACTAATTTTTTTTTACCTTTTTGGTAAAAATTTACATGATACTTCGACGCTACGTAAATAGCTTGATACTTATGATAATAATAAGAAATTAGTACGATAACAGATTTGGCATCGTACCTGATTTTATAAAAACATTGTTACATTTATTTCTGTGACATGACAAATATTAGGTACATAACTTTTATGCGTAAAAATGTATATCTACATTATCACAGGATTGCGATAATAATCTGTTTAATTATATACAATTGCAAATTCAAGTGTGTAGTTACTTATTGACTATATATGCGGCTATTTACGCAAAAAATATAGCATTTAGTGGCAATTGTTTGAGGCTTAAAACGATTTCATTTGACAACATAATAGTTAAACAGAAGGTTCATTGAAAAATAATAGTTAGAATCTCAGACATTCGAAAGATGGCAAATAAAATTTTATCACAACGAAGTATGTTTTTTACGTTACTCTTACAAAAGAACACAATGTCTTCCTGATGGTATGTGAATGCTGTGGCCCAAAGACATGTATATGTTTATCTTCGATTAACAATCAAAATGTGTTGTCATTCACCCCTTGAGAAGTAACATGGAAAGCCTCGTTGCCAGTTAAAACGGTCTTCGGTTCTCTATATTCACCATAAGAAACAAAACAGCATTAACCCTTTCCTTGTTCCATGAACCTTATATGAACATTTCGAATGTTTAACTATTGTGTCTGTTTCGCGGATAGGGAAACTGTTAAGCTGCTATTTTACGCTGGTATTTCGTAAAAGCGTGGTCCTTCTCCGGTCGGTACGACCCATTTGTGCACAAAAGAAACAGAAAATTTTTTATTCAATATAAATTATAAATAATACTTATTAGAAGTAATTGAAAGTAAATACTTTAGATATGGCAAAAAGTTCGCATTACACTCCTAGGGGTCAAAATGGCCAAAAACCAAAAAATTAAAAATTATTATTTCGGCTATAACTCAGCCTCCTTCGGAGGTTCTTACACAGTCTTTACTTCCCGCAGCCAACTAGTTGAAAGTCACTCTTTTGTTTAATTACCACTGGTGCGAAAAAAACCTCTGTCCTTGGAAGAACCAGCAAGAAACCCACCGGGACCTTTTTTTAAATAACAGCTTACAACCATAACATAACTACATCAAGGCTATGATAAAAGAATAAAAAAGACAAAAATATATCGAAATCGAGAACAAAAAAGATAGTGTTGAAAGAATTTAACCGCAAATGTTTAAAATGTCGATCTAAGGCAAAAAGTTTTATCAAACCCAAAATCGAGGATTTCAAGAAAGTTATTCGGGTAATTTTAATTTTGTATAGTGTTAGCAGTTATTCGTATATGGTATAATGGGATTGACGTGGCGTTTCGTCAAAAATCCATAGTAAAAGTTTATCATGATATAAATAGCATGCAATATTTATTCCGCGTAAGTATTGTATGGCCGAAACAAAATGTTACGATACGGAGCCGCTAAATTAAATTGTTGT